AAAATATTGAAAATATAAAATGTGAAAAAAGCGAGGAAGACAGAAACAAACGGGGCGAAAAATGAAGATTATTATGTGGTAACAAAAAGAACGAACATTCAGCGATGTCAATGGCACAATGCGAGAACAAAAATGGAGCGGAGGTATCTGTAGGGGTGCAAACGGTCTCGTGTAGAAAAAAATACGGGTCGTCCGATTAAATCCGGCGACTACAGCAGCTACAGCATAGACGCAAGCGTCTGTTTTATCTCAGTGAGCAAACAAATGAGTATAAAATGTTTTCCAAGCTAAACATCAACAAATTCTGTGATTATTTTGTCTTGGTAGAAGAAATTAATTGTTGAAACCATGCAGTTCCTATAGCGTCACACAAATAGAATATAATTACCTTTAGGAAAGGTGTTCTGATCATTAGTAGTTCCTTTGTGTGTTTACGGTATTAGGTGCTTTTTTAGATATACATTATAAAGGATTTTATTTGAGTTACGTTATAGTAGGTATATTATTATCAGCCATGGGTATTCGGTAGAAATATATAGGCTCCCTTGACTAGAGACTTAGGAATTGGTATACATAAATAAACAGTTTTTCTAACTAGGCAAATCAAATGGTATTGGATTATTTATATTATTGGTATTATTTTTGTTATTGGGTGAGCAAACTCAAGTATTTGCTTGTTAACTACGAAAATAAAATCAGTACCGATCTCTTAGAGATAGTTCAATGAGGTAAAATTATGTCAAACATAAAGACGTAACGCGTTTATTGTATACATAAAAAACAAAAGCTGTTATTTTGGATGGAGACCATTAAAAAGAACTGTCAGTAGATCATTCAACAATGGCTATGCTGCATTATATGCTAAAGGCAAATTTCTCGAGAACTCAATACTAAGAAGCTGTTAGTGTACAGTATATGAAATGGTCGGTACCGATCAGATGTACAGTGATGAGGAATAGATAACGTAAGCTGGGGTCGTTGAGCTGATCCTCCAAACAAATTCTCAAAACTTCGCAAATATTATAGTCAACTGAACATGGGATCTTCGATCAGGGTTTTCACGTATGATTATCCAGCGAAACTATGCTTCAAGCTAACATACTGTGCATGTTTACCCCCCAGTCTTCAACTGAAACATTCCACATGCCCCTTGGTTTGGGTTTTTCCAGAAGGACTCTTGGGTTTGCTAAAGATACTTGTTATCGACGGATCCTGATTTCAAGATTCTAAAATTTCTTTGATTATGAAGTCGCTGTTAGGTATGCCCATAGTTCTGAGGGGTGACAACAAATAAACGCATTGATCTACATTTAGTGCGGTATTTTGCATTTTGATGATACTTTCTAGTTACGTATCCTAACAAAAACTCATTTGATGTAAGGTCGCTGACCCAGATTCTAGCTTGGCCGTGTCATGTGTTAACAAGTTTTATATTTAGCTTTCAGTTCTAACCTATATTTTGTTGGTTTGTCATTAGTTGAAATGCTATTCTCAAAATAAGCGGTCCAGGCGAACAAAGCCAAGCTTTGGTACTAATCCGTCAGTTTTGAATATGTTTGTTACCTAACAAGACAATTTCTCTCTGATCCGAATATCTTTTAAGTATTAACGGCAAACAACTGAAGTTATATCATTCCCAAAATCAGCTTAATTTTGTCACAAATATGTCAACGATCATATTCTTCAAAAAAATTGGCTGAGAGTAAGTATAAAAACAGACAAGTATCATAATGAATACAATCTGTTGTAGCTCTATCTATGCTGTCCTCAGGTTTTGACAGAATTTAAAAAAAGATTGATACTAAAAATGAGGTAGCCAATAGTGACCTGTTGTTGGTACAAATAGATAAATAGAAGAGACTACTCTTTTGAAAAAGGAAATACTTTTGCTTTTGTGTAACGTAATATTGAGATTTTTTTTAGAAAACGCGATATTACAAAACCTATCTGAAGTGAATTCCATCTACAACTTACGTCCATAGCGTCGTCACACAAAGAAGTACGCGTAATGAGATCTTACAATAATTATTGTGTCCAAGTCCGGTGACGTATGAAGTAAGTTCGCTTCTAGCCATTAAACATTAATACAAGAAGTGGAATTTCTACCTAAGTTATTGCGTACACTTCACTTATTAAGACGTCCATAAGGTTATATGCTACTTCTAGATCAATATAACAACTGTTAATCCGAACCAAATTACTTTGATTAAATTAAAAAATGAGGCAATTATATACCCAAGTGATGCCTGTAACACATATACATATAAACAAACAGTCCCACAGAGATAACTGTGTACCATAAATGGTAAATTGCAAAAACAAATAGCGAAATTACTAAATAGAACTAAGCAAAAATGACTAAAATTAACCAATGAAATGTACTGTTTTGTCCAACCTTGACATTTACATTCTGCAACAAAAATTGTTAATATCTTCTCTGTAATTATCGCCTTCGTTCTGTACTCCTATACTATTTACATTTTTGTTTCAAGAAACATATCCTACTTAAATGAAATTTAAAGTTTTCCGCCAAAGCCATTATCGGTCGCCTACCAGGCCTGACGATGATCCAAGATGGCGCACGTTAGCCACATTTCGACTCTTTTTCCCGGCAACGTGCTCGCGTGAAGGGTGTTCGTCATTTGTTTAGCGAAAACCGGTTGAAATCACCCAAAAATGGTCAGTTTGTCTCAAGAATTGTGATACCAGTGCCGTCTGACAACCGTGCCTTTCTCTACAGGCTGAATGTCGAGTGAAAAAGTGTATTTATTGCAAACGGCGCGGCGATGTCTTCTAGCGATGGAACAATATACAAATGATTGAGATGGAAAACCATTAGATCTAATATATCAGTAACATCTTGCCTATAACCATTGGCCATGTGATGTGAAATTCGGATGCCGTCATGGCAGGTCGGTTCAGTACCGGTTATTGTACTCAATACCGTGTGCTACCGTTAATGCTTCAGTAGCCCGTTGCGCGGCTCTGCATCGACATGTTCTGATGGTGTTATTTTTAAGTCAGATCAATAACAGTACAGTAGTAAATGTCGGTGGGTTGTCGTATAATATTCTGCGCGAAATCAAATTATGGATATAATCGTCATCGAACATAATCACATGCCGTCGCCAAAGGTGCACCGCCTGTGCCGGTCGGTCTACGTCGTTTACAAGGGACATTCAGTAACGTTATTTTTCCTAGTTAAGGAAATCGAGCCATGCTGTGTAGTTTTGTTAAGTATTGTCATTTCTTGAATATTATGTGGAATTGGGAAAGGTCCAGAGGTTTTTTCTGTTTTAAGTATCGATCACAGATTTTCCTATGAGCTATGAGTGTGTCCCGAAACTATGTAAGTCTGAATTTGAATCTGTCGTAAGTAACACCCACGTATTACTGAAACATAGCAAAGACTAAGGAACACGTCTTAATTGTTGATAAAATGTGTCTGTTTGTTGTCCTATATACGGTTTTTTTTTCTGACAGGGTATAGACATTTGCCACAAGAATGAACGCAAAGTGGTACGGCGCAATCCGAAGAGTGACAACGTCTACCTGCGTCTGCTCGTAAAGCTATACCGCTTCCTCGCTCGCAAGACCAACTCGAAATTCAATAAGATCATCTTGAAGAGGCTCTACATGAGTCGTATTAACCGGCCTCCGATGTCGACTTCGAAGATCGTGCGTGTTTTGTATTAATGAACTATCGGTGATCGAAAATTTGGTTCACTCGTATGTCGAATCACAGGAACAACACCTATTATACTCCATCAGTAATCCCGTGGGACACTCGCGGAGAATATTATGACGAAGTAGAATTTAAAAGTATGGTAGATGCACTCTGCTAGAGTAGATGACCGTCGCCAAGTAGTAGTCTCGTTTTGTTATAAGACTTTTTATATCCGTATTCTCGCGGACCATGAAAAATACGTGTAGCTATTTACAAAGATATACGGTATATTTTTCAGTTACGTGCTATAGTAACTGCAAATCTTGGAATTTAGACAGATTGGACATGTCGAAGGTAGTAATATTTCCACAACGCTACTGGAGAGATATAAAGCTTAGTTTTGGACATTCATCTATGTGTTCTTAGTGATCCCTATTTATACATATATATTTGTCTGCTTCATATGATTATTTTCATTCATCCACACTTAATAAGCCTGCTGCCTCCTGGGGCACTAAACCTTTGACGAGGTTTTCAGATTGAGAGACGTTTTGTCTTTCCAGTTTGACGACTTGCTCAGAGGTGCTCTTAGGATCCATGGGCCACGGGTGGGTCATTGTGTGGTATAAAAAAAGGTCATCTTGGATGGTTTGACTGTGTTTAAAACGCCTGTCACATGGGCACAGGTTGTTCGGTATAATCCACCCACATATTCGATCAAAGTAAGGCATTTAAAACAGTTCAGCTGACAGAATGAGACAGGCTTTCTCGGTTTACAGAACACCAAGTGAGTGCTTGGCCGCATCTTGTCAACGCGATCCTAAGGTAATGGTTGCGTATCCACGAATTAAGACTGATTATGTAATGTCGATATTGGTTCTATTTCAGGCAAAGCTGATGGCGAAGCCCGAGCGTTCTGGAAAGATCTGCGTGGTGGTCGGCAGCATTACTCACGATACTCGCTATTTCCAGATGCCCAAGCTGACCATTGCCGCCCAACGTTTCTCCGACGAGGCTCGCAAGTGCATCTTGCGCAGCGGCGGGGAGTGCATAACTCTCGACCAGTTGGCTCTCCGTGCGCCCAAGGGCCAAAATACTGTCTTGCTGTCGGGTAAAAGGACTGCTCGCAAGGCGTGCCGATACTTCGGGCCTGCTCCTGGAGTGCCCGGAAGCCACGCTCGCCCCAGGGTCATTTCGAAGGGACGAAAGTTCGAGCGTGCCCGAGGCCGCAGGAAGTCTAGGGGCTTTAAGGCCTAAATTCGTTGTATACAGCATCGCGTACAAGGCCGCTATCATCCCTAAAAACGGTGGACGATATTCATGTTTTGCTGTGTGTCTAATAAACATGGTGAAATTGAAATCGAGCGCGCTCTCCTTTACATTATGAAACACGTTATGAGCAATTAAATTATATTTTAACAAATCAAGTACGTTTTAATGGACCAATTGTTCATTAAAGAGGCGAGAGCCTATAAGGTGGGCACAAAATTTTGGTGTCTCCAGTTATAGTGACCGCTTAGCCGTCTGTTCGGCTAACATGAAGTGTCGAACATACATACCCGTAGAAAGTGCTCCAGTCTGAGAAGTTTTGATTATTGAATTGTCGACGGTAGGACATAAAATTCACTTGAGAATTCTGTTTAGAAGTATTACATAAACTCACAATCGAGGGAACATTATTTTTAAGGAATCAGACATTTGACTACTAGTTATGTTGCGTAAAAATTGCTAAAACAATAGCGTTGCTGTATACTGGCCAACGTATAATTGCGCCATTGCTTATCGTGGGTGGATTGGTGCTGAACTGTTTCATTCCTCAACATCTAAACATCAGAGTAAACCCTGTTGATAGACGAATGTCTGAACAATAGTCTTATGTTAGTGCCTTCTGTGATCTAAGAAAGCACACGATGAAAATATGCTTAGATTTGCTAAACCTTTACGCTTAGACGCTAGCACCATAGATACTAGGTCAAACAAGCCCATTCAGCGAGTTCAGCTACATTTAGGAGATCAAGTTCAAACCCGAATTCGTACTTATCCTCGTTGTACCGCTACGGTCGTTTCTTCAGTTAACTTCTCGAGCCATTCTGTTACTTTACTGTATTACGCTGCTTCTGTTCACCCAGTCTATCAGAGATTCTATGACCTTGCGTTGATTATTGATCTAGATGTGGAACTATCGATATTTGTCGGAATGATACTTGTTGCAAGGTGTAGATCAACATATGCTCCGTGCGATAACATTTTCGGCTTTTGCCGGTACCATTGTTGACAGTTGCGAAACACCTAAATTTTGCTTCTTAGATAAAGTGACGTTTATTTTAGTTTAGTGACGGCAAGGTCAGTAAAGATCGCCGTCAGCACCGTAACTCAACAAACGTAACTTCGGATTGACTACGCTTGTTATTTTCATACACATAGGATGATTTATGAATGATGGTATAATAGTCGCTGATCTATCAATCGATCTGTTCAAAAATATATCCGATAAACCCCAGTTACTATTAGGGATAACTGTTATAATTCACACAGTTTGAAGCATATAAAGATATACTTTAAATATATATATATATATACAAAGATAGCATACACGGATGGCTTTTTTATTGATTGCAAAAGACGGTAAAACGTATGATCATAGTTAGCTTGAAAATCATGAGATCCCCGATATTTTTTCTGCATGTCAATATATGTGACAGCGCAACACGAACTTCGGTTCTATTCTACATAAAAGACCTGACGCTCTATTAATTTAATAAATGTAACGTCTTGATTTACTATAACTAATAGAGGATGCCTTTTGCTTTGGGTTTTTTTTGTTTTGGCTGTAGCGTAAGATCTCAAGAAACAGTCGCCCTTGAATCTGAGGCATCTCATATATTTCCATGTGTTTGTTGAAAAGAAATACATAAATCATCCCAAATGTTTACTTTATAAATGCTCGAACTTTAGCTTACATAGTAAATGAATAAAAAGAAAAGACAGTAGTCTTCGATTCGTGTAGGACTTATGTATAATACTAAACGCTGCGCTAAAGTGTTTTCACTTGCTATTCTCAGCTATTCCCTCCTCTGGTCACACCGGTCAATCAGATATGAAGTGTACATGAGGGTTCTTATTTACTAAGTATATTCGACGCATTCGTGAAGTCTTGCTTCGAGACATTGCTTTCTGTTTACGGTTAATTCAAAGACACCAGTGAAGGGGTACTAGCAGTCATGTCAAGGGTTCCTAGCGCATGGTAAAAATATTGTATTTTTTAAAACGACCACTGAAATTCATAGATATGCCCTTTTTGTAATGAAGTTGCTTCTTCGATCCAAGTCAGTCCATAAAAATCGTTAAAACTAGGTTTTCGTTAGTTTTTTAGGTTTCGTTAAAATCAAAAATAATTTTGGTAGTTTCGTGGTCAGCCTACTTTTGTGAAATTAATACTAGGGAGCAACTGCCTAATGTGTATGCTTATACATTCTGGCTAGCTTCTGTCGGTCTTCTCTATTCTTAGTAGTATATAATTTTCAGAAATCAACTGGCTTCAACTGGCTGGATCGTATGGAAATGAAAGGCGTGGATGCTCAAAATATATACCTGTAGCGACCGTATTTGGTATATTAAAATGTTATAAACAAGTGTAAATGTTTTCACGCCTGCTAATTCTCTTCCGGTGAAGAGACGAATGCCCTCTTAATCTAGCACTGAACTTAAGGGACACGTTCAATTGCTCCATCGATAGTCAATGTTCGAAGGGGTGTATGATATCTTATCTGCACACTTTGTCTGCTTTATGTTTGTCTTTCTTTTTTTGCAACTGCTTATGATTTTCCTTTGAGCACAAGTATTGCTGACAAGTCCAGTGCAATCTCAACACTGTCTACTCCTGAAAAACCCAGTTTTTCAAAACTATTTATTGCGCTGATTTCCATTAAACGACTGCAGTATTCCATAGCTAAAATAAAAGTTACAGCGGCAGTGAACTCATGTTTTATGGCAGTTATGTCAGCTTCTCTATCTACGCAAGTAATTCTATAATCTTTGTATAAATTTCCATATAAACAAAAAAATTCTATAACAAACTCTAACTAAACAAACGAAACGTTTGTTTCGTTGGATTCAATCATGTCGATTCCCTTTCTTCAAGGTTTTCAATACATGTCGGTTTTCTTCGGTTTTAATAATAATGTTTATTTCTTCGTTAATAAATCTGATGGTTTTTGCCGATAACCTACTGCTTGATGTTGCTAGCTACGGTCGCCTAAAGTATTTAACGTAATGTTAAATTACCTTAATTGTGGATTCGCATGAAGCATTCCATCTGGTCGTCGTATCGATAGCGTTTCAGGTAGGGTTTTATATACTGTAGCCTTAACTTACAGTTAGGCTGGTTTAAACAGCAACTGAGTCCACTAGTCTTGACTTCACCTGAATACGAATGTACGTAGTTCTATTTAAACGACGACAAAGATAGGCCTTTGCAACTTTGCACCTCAACAAATCTATGGACTTTATTTTCCTTTTATGTCACAGTGAAGTCTATTGTGGATTGCCCCAAATCGCATGTGCCTCTTTGTAATTTCAATGTAAAGATTGATGTACCTCCTCTAGCGCTCAGTTTGGTAGCCTACAAAAGTTAATATGAAAGTTTTATTTCAGGTGCTAAATGTAAGTATATCATGATCTGCAAGAAATTAGGTTAATCTGGTCGTAGTCTCGAGAACTTTGGGAAGACCAAAGATTTTGGCGACTATTTGTCCAAGGCGGGGAGCTGAGAGGTTGAGTAATCTGAAACTGACTAATTTACTCTATTACGAAATTGCTGTTTTCTCCCAAAAGTAAGAATATCGCTTTGATCTGCGCACTTTGCTCGTTGCTCCGAATCCTTCGTTGCCTTACAGTTAACTGTGACAGTTCCATAACTCAGTGTAGTCACGGGTCTTCTTTTGCTTAAAAGGAGATATCTAGAAATCGAAGCGAACTTGAGCGAATGCCGTAAACTGAGCTACCACACAGGATCGGTGAGGGCATTTCAATCCAATATAACTAAAATATATTTGCATTGAAGATGCTAGTTTTCCTCAGCTAATCCTTCATGCGTAGATGCCGTGCTAGTTGTAATCCTGACTTTTGCACTTGTAAATTTTAACGATATCCATGGAATAGAACAGTTAGTTTCTAAAGAAAGCTCTACGACATCTGGATCGCTGAAATATCTGGTTCCCTATGTCTGTAATAATTCAGAAGAACTGTAGAACAGAAGGATCTATTTATAATGTCGCATATATTATTTTATTTAGTAGTAGTAGTATATTTAGGCAGTTTATTTAGCAGTGTATGATGTCGTTGGAAGGCATTGGAATGTAAATATCATTAACAGTAGTCCTAGGCAAGGAACGCATAATGGACTTTTCGCGAATACCTTAACAGGGCCTTATCGATGTGTATAAAATCTAAGCTTTGCGTTTAGGAAAGCTGTAGATCAACTCAATACAGGACAGATGATCTCGTGAGTGATCAAGTACCTAACGGTCTACGTTTTTGATTTAGGCGTTGGTGGTGTTCGTGAATCTCTTACTACTGTAACAACATTTATGAGTCCTGGTGAAAATGCCCAACACAACTGAAATGCAAATCAGAAGATGGACCGATTCACAATAACATTTGGCCTGGGGCTGCATATTTTGACAGAAGGTACGTTTGGTCGAATGCGCGCTCAGCTTTTCCTGTACTACGGAGCATTGCGTATAAGGCGATATCGAGTGCTTCGATGTTCATTTAGCTGGAAGTCCAATTCTGGATGCTCATATTTTTCGCGTCGCCTGAGAGCACAGCCATGGTGGCCGAAGATCGCTACTGCTTGCTTACTGGTATTACAGATGGTCACATAGACATGACTGGTGGAAACCTCTAGTAGGCTTTGTAAGGTGAGTTCGGTCCTTGGAATATTTATCGGTATTTCTAACAGCAAATGCATTTTATTTCTGAGAAAATCCTGTACTTCTTTGATTCACTATTTAATATAAACCATCAATACTGAACAAAGAATAAAAGAGCATTTTGCTTTACTAATTCTGCAGTATACATTGGCATGAAGCGTACGTTACAGAAATTATTTCGAGATAAAACCTATCTCTTCGGTATATAAAGAAGTGGTTTGGCGCGTAAATTCGGGAGAGCCGATAAGCGTATCTACAGAGGGCTAGTCCTCCACCGTCGAAACGAAGTGTGTCTATGTAGAGTTTCAAAGCCCTTATCAGGTCATGTGGCCTTAAGTTTAATCGATAAACAGGTTATCATTGACCCACCACAGGACTATTTCTTTGATCCAGTGTGGCCAATATATTTTGAGCACATGAAGCGATT